AAGAACCAATGTGCATTCTGCAAGGAGCAGGGACATTGGAAGAGAGACTGCCCGAAGCTCAAGGAGAAGGAGAATGGCAAGAAAAAGGGCCCGAAGGCCAATGAGGTGAACATTGCGAAAGGCGATGATTCCGATGATTCGTGCTTTTCTCTACTGATTACTCCGGAGGTGAACCATGTGGATGCATCAGATTGGATGCTTGATTCCGACGCTACTTTTCATGTGACCCCTAGGCGAGACTGGTTTGCATCTTTTGAGAAAGTCGACGGGGGTGTTGTTGTCATGGGAAATGATCAATCCTGTGGCGTTTGTGGGATAGGTACCATGCGGATTAGGATGCACGATGGAGTAGTTCGTGGGTTGAAGGATGTGAGATTTGTTCCTCAACTGAAGAAAAATCTTATCTCAGTTGGAGCTTTGGAGGCGAAGGGATTCAATGTGACTTTCGAAAACGCTGTAGCGAAGGTTACTAAGGGATCATTAGTGGTGATGAGGGGAGTCCTCGAAAACGCTGTAGCGAAGGTTACTAAGGGATCATTGGTGGTGATGAGGGGAGTCCGCAATCGGAATTTGTATTATCTGAAGGGAAGCACCGAGATTGGCCAGGTTGCTTCGGTTATTTCAGAAGCGGACATGAGCAGACTTTGGCACTATAGATTGGGGCACACAGGTGAAAAGTCACTGCAGGCATTGTGCAAGCAGGGGCTATTGAAGGGAGCCAAGAGTGAGAAGATTGAGTTATATGAGCACTGTGTTCTTGGCAAGAAGACGAAGGTAAAGTTCGGGACTGTCATTCATCAGACGAGGGGCATCCTAGAATACGTGCACACAGACGTTTGGGGTCCCACCAAGACTGCATCACTTGGTGGTCGACATTGGTTCGTCACGTTCGTTGATGACTATTCTAGGCGTTGTTGGGTGTACACCATGACGAAGAAGAGTAAAGTCCTAGATTTGTTTGTGGAGTGGAAGAAGAGATTGGAACTGCAGACTGGGAGAAAGATCAAGATGTTACGATCCGACAACGGTGGTGAGTATACTTCAGACCCCTTTTTGCAGCTATGTTGAGACGAGGGCATAGAGAGACACTTCACAGTTAGTCATACACCGCAGCAAAATGGGTGGCAGAGAGGTTGAATCGGTCTTTACTGGAGAAGATCCGATGCTTATTGTGGCAAAGTGGTTTAGAAAAGATCTTTTGGGCTGAGGCACTTACATATGCGAGCCACCTCATTAATAGGCTGCCTTCATCTGCGATTGAGGGGAAAACCCCTATGGAGATGTAGTCGGGAAAGCCAGCACATGACTATGACCAGCTCAAGGTATTTGGGTGTCCTGCATATTATCATGTTAGAACTGATAAATTAGAACCTCGAGCTAGGAAGGCCATATTTGTAGGATTCAAGCGTGGTGTCAAGGGATACAAGCTTTGGGATCCAGTGGATAAGAAGATTGTGCTGAGTAGGGATGTCACATTCGATGAGGCTTCTATCTTGAAGCTTCTAAGCTCTCATCAGGTGGAGAGCGACCCGACGGAGGAAATATCGCAGGTGGTGGAGATCGATGCAGCTCCACATCGTCCAGATGGTACAGTATCCATGCAGGTGCCGACTGAGGTGACACCAGGCGAGCAAGACGGTGACACGGAGGATACGAGTACAAATGTACAGGATCAGGAACCGACTGCTCAGGTTCAGGATTCTATTACGGCTAGGAGACAGAGGAGAAACATACAGATGCCAGCACGGTATGCCGACACAGTTGCGTATGCACTTCCGGTAGAGAGTATCGATGAGTTGGTGCCTACTATATTCAGAGAGGCCGAGCAGAGTTCGGAGGCTGATTCGTGGCAGGTGGCTATGCAGGAAGAGATGTAATCTCTTCATAAGAATGATACATGGGAGCTTGTTGAGCTTCCAAAGGGGCGGAAGGCAATTGGTTGCAAGTGGGTATACACGAAGAAGGAGGGCATTGAAGGCACTCCGTTGAGATTCAAGGCTAGGTTGGTTGCGAAGGGCTATGCACAAGAGGAAGGAATAGATTATAATGAGGTTTTCTCTCCGGTGGTGAAGTATTCTTCGATTCGGATTTTGCTAGCTTTGGTGGCATAGTATGGTTTGGAGTTAGATCAGTTGGATGTGAAGACGGCATTTCTTCATGGTGATCTTGATGAAGAAATATATATGACTCAGCCATTGGGATTCCGAGCTGCAGGGAAGGAAAAATTAGTTTACAAACTGAAGAAATCGCTATACGGTTTGAGGCAGTCTCCTCGACAGTGGTATAAGCGATACGATGGTTTTATGCTTGGTCATTCGTACACTCGGAGCCAGTTTGATCCTTGCGTATATTTTCACAAGTTGAAAGGAGGTGCGTACATCTATTTGTTGCTCTATATCGATGACATGTTGGTTGCCTCTATTTCCAGGTCGGCTATAGATGAATTAAAAGTTCAGCTATCAAATGAGTTTGAGATGAAAGACTTGGGTGAGGCGAAGCACATTCTAGGGATGGAGATCGGCAGAGACAAGAAGAATGGCAGAATTTGTTTGACACAGGTGGCTTATTTGAAGAAGGTTCTACAACGATTCCATGTTAGCATGGATACGAAGCCAGTTGGTGTGGAGCCCATTTGAAGCTTTCAGCTGGTCTTTCACCGAAGTCAGTTGAAGATCGAGAGTTGATGTCGAAGACTCCATATGCAAGTGCGGTTGGGAGCTTGATGTACGCGATGGTATGCACGAGACCAGATTTGTCACAGACAGTAAGCATGGTATCAAGATACATGCATGATCCAGGAGTGGGTCATTGGGACGCTGCGAAATGGATTTTGAGGTACATTCGAGGTACGCTCAATGTTGGTTTGGTTTATGAGCGGGACACTACAGGTGGGTATCTATGCATTGGCTATGTTGATTCGGATTATGCCGGGGATTTGGATAAGCGCCAGTCTACGACGGGGTATGTGTTCACTTTGACCCATGCGCCGGTGTGTTGGAGATGCACCTTACAGTCGACGGTGGCTTTGTCTACGACGGAGACAGAGTATATGGCAGTTACGAAGGCTGTGAATGAGGCTATTTGGCTTCGAGGAATTTTGGAGGAACTTGATATATCGCAGAGGTCCGTCACTATTCATTGTGATAGCATGAGTGCTATCTATTTGGTGAAGAATCAGGTTTTTCATGCGAGGACGAAGCACATTGACGTTCGTTATCACTTCGTTCGGGATGTTCTTGAAGATGGCGATGTGGAACTTGTGAAGGTTCACACGAAGGATAATCTGGCGGATATGCTCACTAAGGTGGTTCCGAGCAACAAGTTTGATCATTGTCGAAACTTGTTGTACATTCGTGATTGTTGAGGCCGTTGGCGGCCATTTGGGTGAACTACGTTCGGCTTGATTCCTTAGACAAGACGATACGTAGGCAGTCTTTCAGATACAGCCGGTTTGGATTAGTTGATTTTGATGGGGGTGAGATTCTTTGGACTCTCGTTCGGGTTCTCGACTTGTTGTGGATTGAGTTCGTACTGGACACAACAAGTGAGACATTTGATTGCTTTGGTGTCGGCTCAGTTTTGGGAAAACTTCACCGAGGTGGAGAATTGTGATCACGTGAGTTGGGGGAACGCACAAGCCACAAGCCCACGCGGACACAACCAGGCCCACCCGAATCACACCCTCACAAATATATATACGTGAGGGTTTTGTAGGTTTTTTTTTTAAGCAGCAGCAATTGAGGGAGCAAGAGGGCTTGGCTGCGGAACAAAAGCAAAAGCAGAGGAAAAAGTTTGCAGCAACAGCTGTAGAAGAAAAAAAAACACAGAATTCAAGAGGAGATTTTGTGTGTAGGCTTTTGTGCTTTTGTAGAGAGATATTGTGAAGGATCTGAGAGTTTGTTTGAGGGTTTTAGTTGTGAGTGATTGTAAACCCTAGTTGTATTCTCTCCCTCTATTAGTAGATCTCTCCCCTCCTTGCCCCGTGGACGTAGGCAATTTGCCGAACCACGTAAAATTGGTTGTACTGTTTTTGTGTGATTTGTAATAGCTTTTTAGGATCCCTCGACAGGTCAGTCCTAGAACTGATGAGAGGAAGAGCCGATATCTCACTTGGTTGAGATATCCGCTTCAGATTCTTGTCTCCTTGGTGAGACGGGAATTCTTATTGCGATCTGACTCTCTTGTTGTGCTGCCGAAGTGCTGCCGAAATTTCCGCTGCGCGCAACATTAATTTCAATAGTGTAGGGGCACAGTGCATTCTGAAGATATTGTGAGGATGCTTTGCTTTGGCTTCATTCTATAGACAAGGGTTTATAGAAACTTTACGACATAGATCGTGTCTCCAAATGATGTTGCATGGGATTCAATCTTTATCATCAATTGCAGACTTGTTATTTCACGAAAACAGTGGAAACTAAAAGCATACAAAAACTAATAATGAGTAATATAACATATTTCAAAATTGGAATGACCCGAAGTTGAAGAGACTTCAGGCTGCAGCATGGTTACCTGCCATTACTCACCAACCGAAAGTCAAGTAGTTGGGTTTTCTGGATGGACTAAACTTTGGTGATCTTTGGTATAAAGCTAGTAAGTACTCGCTGCTAGGATAACAATAGGAAGACTCATCTAATTTCAGACAGGCTAGAACTCAAAAATTTCATTCATATTGGGCCCAAAATCGGCCTCCAAATCTTCGATAATATCTTAAAAATAACTCTTCTTCTACTTGCTATTCTAAATTCGACCATCAAGCACAAAAATACAACTACATAACAGCACCGCTTTAGATGTTCATCTATACTCAGGAATAAGTTCAAACTGCAACTTCATTATGGGACTGATATATCACGAGTATGGGAAACTGCACCTGTTGGTAATTAATATGTTTCAGGAAATTTGACTTTACTGACCAACTATTAGCTTCATATTCAACAATCAATTTAAGCGCGAAGGTTTACCTCAACTAAAGAAATTTCTGGGGTAAAAAATGCATGATATCATCTTAACTAAACTATTGGATTACCATCAAAAAGTTTTGAAAAACAATAATCTGTTCGACATAGAAATTTGAGACAGAGCAAAACAGAAGCTGCAAATTCAAGCTTAAAAAGTCTTCCTCGCCTTCTTTTGAGAAAATACCTTGTTCAGTGGATTGGAAGAGACAATACAAGCTTTCAACAGATTCAAAACCTGCACTACATGGAATATAATAGAAAAGAGATTAGTTAGAAAGATTTTCATTAGATGTAATTTCAGACCAAAAAGCTTTCGAACATTAGGAAAACTTCACCCCTGCCTCTCCAAGTTTAATCTCCTTCTCAGCTTGGTTGCCGATGGGAACTTTGAGCTCTTTGATCACACCAATTCCAGAAATGAGCAACACAGGTGTGATGTCCATCTCATTAGTAACCATGAACCTAACCGACCTCTTTGCATACTCGAGCCTGGCAACTTCGGATTTATTTCATTTGTATCGACAAACTCTACATTGTGCATGCACTTCGTACCAGAGACACTGATCCCCTGACTCCAGCAAGTTTCACATCCATGAACCGTGCATGGTTTTGGTAGTTCAGCTACAATTTTCAAAATTTGGCTGTCGCAGTTAAAATGTGGGTAGAGTTTGGGAGCCAATAACATGTTCTTACACTCCTACAAGTTATCAACACAACCAACAGAGGACTGACTGTTCAGGAGCTTCACTATAGATCCTAGTGGAAAGGTAAGGAATGAGAGAAGGACGTCTACTAAATCATTCCCTGCTTCAGCGCGCACAACTTTATTTGTGATCTTATTCTCAAGGAGCTTCACACTTATAATTTTGGCTTGAGTATCTTCATTCTTGACTTCCGACATGATTTGAGCAGTCTCTAAAATCTCATTATCTTCTTTGCAGTTGTCCATTGATTCTGCCTTCCGCAAGAAAACCTCTGTAAATGGTGTCTTCGACAGCAGTAAACTCTTCAGTAAACTTAAAACCTGTACCAGTAACAACAAACAAATCAGAATGTTAAGATGCAATGTAGTTCACTGTTTGGTTGTAGCAGCAGTTAGAACTGCATGCAATTTCAATTACACCAATCCAAGTTCCAGCTATTTGGTTTGCTGCACTTGGAGCTGCAGCTAAGATATATTTTTTCCCTTTCCAGGATAGCATGTTATTCTTAGTTGTGTCCAAGGTTTACTTCAACTGCAGCAATTTGATATTTTAAAGATAAATCTATAAAAATTGCCACATTAGCACACAAAGATTTTTTTAATTGCAGTATTACTTCTCTAATACAAAAAAAAAGAACGAAATAAAAACAAAAAACAAATAGTTGAATTTTTAATGCCGGTTTGTGCAAACTGACAACAGGCATAACAAAAACAGAAGAATGCCCTTTCTGATTACATAACCTGATTTATAGTACAAGTGATGCTGCAGGAAAACTTCTTTGTGAGTGTAGAAAATGAATAAATTATAGAAAACTTTGGAACCGAAAAGGTCTTTAAGACCGATATGATTGAATGTTTTTGTCTGTAAAAGTTGCAGTTTAAATCACTCAAGATAACTCTGAGTACATATAAAATTGCCTGAAGAAGCCCGGTTTAGTTATAAGTTTGCTCCCATACCTCATTTCTACTCACATCCACAATTCTTTCCTCAAGGATATCTGCATCATTTATCCCTAGCTTCTGAAGCAAGTAAATGGCAGTCGTGACTGTAGCCGGCGCTACATGCAAGTCATCACTAATAGCATATGTCACTTCTCCTTTCAGAAACACATCGTTCTCCACATCATCTTCCTCCTAATCCCACATAAAAACTTTATCCATTGCTTTTCCACAGAGGCAGCAAGCTCCACAAATCGAACCATAAAGTGGGTTAGTCTGAGTAAAGCAATGAAGTGTTGGACACTTGTATATGTACTGGGGCTTTAAATCGCCAACATTGACCTGTAAATCTGCACACACTATTTCTGCTGCACTTTTGGGCTGGAGCAGCATCGTCTCACAAGCTTCAGTCTCCAGATACTTGGGGTTGAGATTCTCCACGCTCTCATATAATTTGTCCATGCATCCAACTGATGACTTCTTGTTGAGAAGTCTGATAATGGTCCCAATTGGCAATGTCAAGAAGCTAAAAAGAATGTCTACAAACTCGTTGTTCGATTCAGCAAACACAGCCCTTTTTTTTTCTCGTGTCTACAAGGAGCTTCAAGCGCACGGTGGATGACATGGGGCGATTTTTGAAAATACAGGCTCCTTACAGAACTAGTTCAGAATGAAAATGAAAATGTTCTGTATACAGCAAATCAGCCGAAATTACACAGTGAACTAATTACAGGATTACCAGTGATAAGTATTGGTACAGGAAAAAATATGTAGAAGAGGGTTCCAAACATATTATAAATACATAACTAAAAAAGTATGGAGCCTGGAGAGGAACCAGATTTTATGTCCTAAGCTTTACTTTGGCAAAGCCATCTGTATAAGAAGTGATCGTGTAAACTGTAAAGTAAAAGGTAGCAATCCAGTAACAACCTTTAGAGGATTGATAAGTTTCACATTGTTTTGCAAAATTTAGTTTGGCAAGGATGTCCATGCTAACAGAACTCCTGTTACAGGAAAGCAAGCTCAAAAGTATGAACCTGACATCATTTTTAGGGACCATTAAATTTCACTTAACTGTTTATCCAATCATATCTTTAACAAAAATATCCTGGTCCAAATAGACTCCGAAAAGGTTGAGTCTCCTCTATGAATGGTTAACTCAATGTAGGCATGAACATTTGTCTGTCTCACAAGGAACCTAAAGTTAGCAAAAAAATTATAATTCAAAATAATAATTTCCCTTAAAATGGTGTAGGATCCATAAGGACCACTTCACACTAGATATAGTTTATCAGCATTTTTTTATACCCAGCTTGGAATCAAACCCAAGACTGTGGAAACCATATCGGAATCTCCCAACCGTCCGTGTCACCCGCGGCAGGCTTAGTTTATCAGCAGTTTTGAGGTTAAGGGATTGTCAAGGAAGAAAACCTAGAATAAACTTAAGTACGCGGCCTATACACATCTTGAATTACATTTGATCTAGAACACAAGATAACAAGGAATGTACGAAAGTTCTTTTAGTTAGGTCCCGAACAAAAATAAACCTGCCATTTAAGTAGGAAATCACATTTTATTCATAACGTTAAGTCAATCCATATCTCTGAATTACATATGAGTTCACTTTTCTTCTATCACAAGAGAAGCTTTATTCTTCCAGTTATATTATCCTTAAAAAAACTGATATAATTGATGATACTATGATGTGCCAAGTTCCATCTCCTAGCATGAACACTATATTGTCTAATCCAAGTCAGTTTAAATTTCTAAAACAATAATCCTCAACAATTTTAATATATAAAGATTATTCAACAAACGCGATAACTGGTCTTCTAATCTATGTTACATAGACACTGGATAAGCCGTTGAAGTACATAAAAAACAACAAAGATCCTGCAAGATATTTTGTGTCTGATATAGTGTCCAACACGACTTGGAATACTACCTATTGACTTGTATTCCTGTACAAAGTATCCTCCAATAAATTTCCAATTAGCCAAATATTCTCAAAACACTAAACTTTTGACACTCAACTGAATTACTTCTGAACACTGAATTGGTGCATATCCTCATAACAAAACTTGGAAAGTTTGAAATGGATAGTGTGAAGAAATAATAACTAGTTCATATACTACATTATGAATACAAAGTGACATTTGTCTGTATAATTTATACGGACCTCATTCATAATAACTCAGTAGGAGAACCAAACTTGTTTAAGGTGACGATACCCCAGACAGATAAACATCAAGGACATTCACTACATTCAAATATTACCCCTTGTCAATATTGAGTGTTTGCTGTAGATTAGTCTCTATAACATCAAAGTATATATTGCACATGACACGTTCCCTTGAAAATTCCTCGTCTCATCGAATGTCATCAAGAAAAAAAATATTCCCTTTACATTTAGAGAATCCAAACACTCGCATAACTATCATAAACATTTGGGGGGGGGGGGGGGGGGGCGTGGGGGGGGAGTTCAAATGTTAAATCTAATAGTGACCTTTAACAAGTGAATAACATGGCGTATTCAAACTTCAAAATCCCAGTTCCGGCACTCAAATATCAACAGTAAGGGTTCAATGATTAGTACGATTACAGAAATAAAAGAAACTATCAGTGGTCAAATTCACATATCGGACGATACCAAATAAAACATCAAAGTATAAGTTTTACTTAACTGAGCCTCTTCTTTTCTAACTATTCAACGTGCAAGTTGTGTAACTATCGAATGAACTTTAACCAATTCCATGGATTTATAAGAGAAGAAATCAAGGAAACAACTTTTGCCTAATTTTTGAGATAGAAACAAAGATTTAAGCAGGTGAAAAGTTACGTTATCACAATGTCACTGAAGGTTTCAGCCATGAGGGTGACAGTATCTGCCTCAGGCGATATGAAAGGTGAGAAGGAGGATCAGAAGACCGCAAAGGCAGAGAACCGGTTTCACCGTATCTCTCTATGATCACAGCGAAATGAGCAATTGTAAATCCACACCCGCACTTGACCTGAATGAACCAGGTTTAAGCGCGGATTGAAATCAGTCTGGTACCTTATAGAGGTTTCGGCTTAAAAATGTGGAAAGGAAATGGCAAATTTGCTAAGAAATTATATAGAGATCTTTGCAAAACATGTTAATGGACAATAAATATAAGTTTCTCAATTGTATAACCTTAACTTCTAGTTCTCTTGATATTAGTTATTTTTGTATATTTGATTTTCTCTCTCTCACGTATGTCCCTTCAACGAAAGCTTAACATACAATCGTCTGAACTGTTTCCACATAAGATTTTGCCTTACAATTGCAAAATCTAAACTCCATCTCATCTGGAAGTCCAATGCTTGATGATGTTGTAGAGATCCTCGAGGAAGAATTCATTTCTCGGTTTGAGAGGGAGAAGTGAAAATAAATTGAGAGTTGAGTGTCTAGGAACGAAAGAAAGAAAGAAAGAAAGAGAATGAGGATGTAAAGGCTTTATATGGGTTTTAAAGTGGTTTACGCTAACATCGAGGGCAATTTGAACAAGTTTTTGCCATGCAGACATCACGTCAGAATCTCTCTTGGAATATCCCAGCAGAACAGTAACAGAGGGTAGTAACATAGAAAATTTGGAAACAATAGGGTACTTTTACGTTAAAAAAATTTAGGGTATATAAGTGAAAACTTAGACAAACATTGGGTCAGACAATTCCTTCTCCTCCCTAAATTGATGCCAATGCCTTATTCTAGCCCCTACTTCCTCCATCAGATGAATTTAGGCTAATTAAATCATCACTAAATTTGATTTCTTAGTCAGGATCTCTAGTAGGGAACTGAGTCTTGATCCCCTATAATCTGCGTAGCATCTTAACTCCCCATATCACTGTCACTATCCTCCTCAAAATTTGCATATGCGTTACTCCCACTTCAAAGTCATCACTATCATTATCATTGTCTACTACCCAATCCTCATCTTCAATATTCTTTTCAAGGTTGCATGGGTACAGTTACGGGTACTGGTATGGGTACAGTTACGGGACACGGTAAATTTGTAAAAGGCAGGGTACGAGGACACCGCTTTATATGTGCATGTTATGTATATTTATATGTATTAAAATTAATAATTTACATAAGATCAATATTGCTTTTTCATTTACATAAGATCAATATATAAGAAATAGATGTAAAATATAGAACATACATCCAAGAAGTGTATGAGGAGTGTTTTAAATTAAAACATGTATATAATTGAGTATACGCCCGAATAAACATATGCATATATTCAAGAAGTGTGCATTGTGCAAGAGGTTTGGGTACAGGTATGCGCTGGGTACGGGTATGGCCCTAATAGAAGTACCTAGGTAACATAGATTCTCTTCTTCAAGATCTCCAAACACATTCCCATTCTCAGAAACATTGTCATTTTTAGTCTGGGATTTATCGAATCTTTAAGTCATGCACCCACTGTCATCAACAACATTATCATCATCATCTTGCACATCAACTGTGGCAAGATGTTCACGAAGATGCTCTACATATATTTCTCTGTAAGTAACATTGTCCTCTTCCATCAGCTCAAGTGGTGAAGGTGAAATGTCTAGGACCACTATCCTTAAACCCTACCGTCCCAAAAGGATGTTTAAAATGAATATTCAGTTCACTTGTATAACCGAACTGTCTCATTAGTTTTTCCACATAATCTCAAGTTAAGTGTTATTATCAACATTAAAATTGAGTAATCCTTTCCCCGCAGTATTTTAATCTAGGACGTCTAACAAAACTACCACCATGGTGAATATTTAGGTTGATAGACATAGTGATCCCTACATTATGTACTTGGGCACTTCTATCATGAAGCCATACCCATACCTGACACTTCCTGTACCCGTAACCGTACCCAACACTACTTGGACACTCCTTAGATATATGCATACATTTATTCAGACGTGTACTCAATTATACAATACATTTATTAATTTAAAAACACTTGTCATACAATACTTGGACATATCCTACACTACATCTATTTTGGAACTTATCGGACAATGGTTGAGTTCAGTTCAGCCTTAAGAACTACAATTTCAAAGGAATGTTTGCTTATTTAGTTCATAATGATGATTACAGCTCATGCATTTCAGACGTGTGCTCAATTATACAATACATTTATTAATTTAAAACACTTGTCGTACAATACTTGGACATATATCCTACATTACATCTATTTTGGGACTTATCGGACAATGGTCAAGTTCATTTCAGCCTTAAGTTTCAAAGTCCTTATTTAGCTCATAACGATGATCACAGCTCATGCATTTCAGCCACGTCCCCATACCCTACCTTTTTCAAAAGTTGTCGTACTCGTACCTGCACCCATACCCATATCTATGCAATTTAGTATCTACATTAAAAAATGAATTATACACTCAGTCTACATTCAGTTGTGAAATCAAAAACTACATCTCAAAAATCTTTCATTGTGATTAACCAGTTAAGCCATTAGAACCTTAGTAAGAAGAATAAAAGAAGACAATCAAATAAAGAAAGAGAAAATATTCATACACCTAATATAATTAACCCACACAGAAGCAACGCCATTATTACGACATCCCAAACTAATAAACTATACAAAGATGACTCTATTAATTATAATAACATGTGAAAATCCTTAGAAAATATCATAAAATTGACAGAATTATACTAGTACTCTGGGATCAACAGAATTACACTAGTACTCTGGGATCAACATGTGAAAATCCTTAAAAACTATACAAAGATGACTCTATTGATTATAATAACATGTGAAAATCCTTAAAAAATATCATAAAATTGACAGAATTATACTAGTACTCTGGGATCAACAGAGGGTCAGCGCAACAAACAAAAGTTTGCGCACAAACCCACTACTCAAAATCGCATGAATCACATAAAAAATTGCTCGAAAACTTTCTAAAAACTAACCCATTACACAAAAGACTAAAAAAATAACCCTAGCAATCACATGCAAATCAAGTGAAGGATTTACCCTGCTTATTTCCGCTCCAAATTGAACCCAAACTTGAGGGATCGATCGATTCGTGAGCGCAGAGCCTAAGTGTTCACCATAGCGGCAGATTGAGACGATTGAAATCGTAAATTCAAGGGATGAAAAGTAAAAATAGGGTTGAATTGCATGTAAGTCCCTTACATAATCATTAATTACCAAGTAGTTCCTGAAATCTCAGTATTATTTGCTCATTAGTCCCTTAAATCTTCAATGTTCTCGTCAAATGGTCCTTCTGTTATAAATCTGTTAATTTCTCTAACTCTAGTTGGATTAACCCTTAATCTAACACTTAAATTGTCTAAGTACCCTGAGTATAATCTCTTTTTTTTATTGCTCTCTGAAAGTTGAAAACAACTCAGATTTGAGTTTAGAGAAGTATAGAAGAAAGACGTTATGGGTTTGAGTTTTAGAGTGATTGAGTTGCGAGTTTAAACCCCTTATGACATGGTAGAGAGGGGATTCTAACGATAGTGTTAATATGAGTGAAAGTATAACGGAAAATCCATATGATTCCATTACAGTTAACAGAATTTCGCCATCATTATTAATACCACTTAACAAGAAGTACATGACTGCAAGAAAATTGAAGATTTTAGGGATTACTAGGCAAATAATGAGATTTTAAGGACTATTTAGCAATTTTTGCAATTAAAGCTAAAATACACCGTTAAGCACAGTTAAAGTTTTTGAAAAGAAGTTAGGGTTTATAAGTGAAAAATTAGACAAACATTAGGGTATGTAAGTGCAATTAAGGCCAATTCTTTTGAAGTATAGTGGAATTAACAAAAAAATTTGGGTGAAAGACGCTGAAATTTATTGAAGCAACATTTAACAAGGAAACTTGAAATACATCTTGTTGGATTGAATCAAAATTTTCCCTACCCTTCTTCCTGTAAGATCATTTTTTACGGACATTTGCCTTCTATTTGGCAAACCTATTAAGTACTAACACATATTATCAATTCTTATTTTCACGAATAACTCAATCTGCTATGTTTCTTTTAATTCATTTATTGGCTTTCGCTATTTTGGTAAAATTTAGAACGACCCAACCCTTGAGTTTTGTGGACTTGGATCTTCTCCACTACAAAAAAAAAAAGTAAGAAGACAATTACTTTTAATATTAACATTTGATTATCTAGTGGGTGGTTGTAATACAATCTAAGGGGTTGTTTAGTTCAATAATGAGCAAGAATAGGATTAGAAAAATAATGTTTTTTTATGGATTCCTACCTAATCTATAAAAAAATTTAAGGACAATTATAGTTGTCATGGAATATTGTAGAATCCTTTTTTTTACCTTTCTATGTTTGTTTCGTAACATGAAATATATAATCCAACTTTATAGAAACTCTCTAATTTCCTATTCTTTAGTTTGGTTTGGAATGAGAAAATATAGAATCATTTATATATTTGGTTTTTATGAATTCTGAATAACAAAGATAAAGGGAAATGAAGTGGGTAGTGTCAGTTTTTTTACCCAATTCCACTCAAACCCATTTGATTTGGGTTTTCATAAAAATCGCCCACTTTTCCAACTTTATAGATATCGAAATCTATAAAATTCCTTTTCAAAAAAAAAATCTATAAAATTGTTATGAACCAAACTTAGGAATATGATACATTTAGAATTCTTTATTTATAATTTTGCCCCTGTCGGATTCAATTCTTATTCCTATTCTATAAAAAGAGTGAAACAAACACCCCCTAAATCTAACACTCAACCACCCTCTGTATATTGCACTCATTCCTAATTTGTGCTCAAAGAAAAAATCATAATCATCCACTAAATAGTCAACTCCTATGAAAATTCAAGTTTGGTCCGTTCTGAGGAAATCCCCCTTAGCCCTCCAAAAGTTTTGTCCAATAATCTCCAAAAAAATCTTCACTAGGTTTGTGACATCGTCAAATGATGAAAATAAAAGGTTTAAAAAAACCCATTATCCTGTTAATATTTTAAACCTAACTCTTTTTTCCAGCTTTCTTCTCATGTTCACCCAGGATGAATGACGTCTCCTCTTTATATTTTTAAAATCTTTTCTATTTTAGTTCTTTCTTTTTAGAGATTTTTTGGCTTAGAGATATTTTTGTCCACAATATTTGAGGCTCCCGGCGTTTGGGGACCCAAGCGAAAATAAAAACAATAAATAAAATAAAATAAAATAAAATGTTTCAGTTTGTGACAATTTCAAAAATTAAGAGAGGGTGTTTGTTTGTATGCAAGTGAAAGATAAAAGTGTATAATTGATTTTCTTTTATCATTTTAGGTGTTTGTTCGCGTGCAAGTTATTACAAAGGTGAAATGAAAAAAAGTTGCCAATCGATCGCGTGAAAGTGATAAAAATATGGAGATGTTTGACAATTTGAAAGTGAAACAAATTAAAGTGGCAAAAAGAGTAACTTACACCATTTCATTTCACTTTTAAACTGCCAAAGACCCCCTAACTAATATTGATAAACTTTACGAGGTTATCCAAAAATCAGCCAAACTTGAGGGGCGTTGGGGATATATGAGCATAAAGGATTTGTTCATTGAGACTTGAGAGGCTGCGTTGGTGAGTATGTAGTTGACATATTGGCATCAATGTAGTTGACATATTGGCATCAACGGGCCGGTGTGGCTATCAGAATGTGAAGGAACGTGTTTTTTATTTTTTTTATTTTTTATTTTTTTTTAAGATTTTTCTCTCATATAACACATTTGGAGTAGGGATACAATTGTGAAGAGAATGTTGAGAAGCGAGTCGACTTTGTGAGGTAACCCCTTTAAGATTAAAAATGTCACAAAACCCTCCTTAAGTTCGGCGGATTTTGAGATAGCTCCCCTGAGGTTCTAAAAACATTACTTAACCTACCTCAAGTTGGGGGTGATCCGTAAAACGCTGCAGATATTTTTAGTTCTTTCAACTAGTCGTAAGTATAGTTCACCTTTTGGAGAACTTGACCTCTGTTTCTCCAAGATTAACCACCTTCTTCAACTAAGCAATTTATGTTGCTCTGAGGTTTTTAATAAAACCAATTAAACTCAATAATCATGGAGTACTATGCACAGGAGATAATCATACAGTAACTAGAAGGACAGGTGTGGTTGTAGATATTTCTATAATATAACAGGTTTAAACTGTAAATTTATTACGGGACATGTATGACTATTTTTGTAACACAATTGACTAAGACAAAAATTACATCACTTGATGATTTCATTGAATACCATCTTAACGATCAAGAGCTTAAGTGCACAGTCCTAATCCAACCAAAGGAATTTCTGAAGAAAACATAGTAGGATATAATGCTAATTAAATCACTAGATTATCGTCAAAAGTTCTGAAAAACAATGTCATGATTGGCAGAGAACTCTAAGTCGAAGTAAAAAATATATAAATTGTTACATTCATTAGTTATATAATTAGTAGTTTAGAGTGTCCTCTCCTTAGGAGAGAATAACTGGCACAATGGATTGGAAAAGATCAGACAAGCTTTCAATATATTCAAAACCTGCATCAAAGGGATATAAGAGCAAGAAATTAGTTAGCAAGGTTTTTCTTAACAGGTAATTTTCAAACCAAAAAGCTTTAGAAGGATAGAGAAACTTCACCTCTTCTTCTCCAAGTTCAGCTTTAATTCTCAACTAAGCTGCCGAAGGGAGCTTTGAGCTTTTTGATTGCACCAATTCCAGAAATAAGCAATACTGGTGTGACAGCTATCTCATTAGTAACCATGAATTTATCTCCCCTCTTTGCATATTCCCCTCCAATTTTTGTAATCGAGTTTGGAAACTTCATATGTATTTCGTTTAATGTAACATGACGTATTTTATGTTTACACTTCGTTGTATCAGAGTGATGCAGCATCCCTGATATCCAGCAGGTTTCACATCCATGAACCTGACATTTCATTGGCAGATTCTCTTCAACTTTCAAAATCTGGTTGTCGTTGTTAAAATGTGGATAGAGTTTGGGAGCCAATGACAAGTACTTGTGAACGCGGACGTGGTGGGGCCAACCCACGTGAAGAAAACAGCGTGAAAAGATCAAAGCAACACGCGGTTTCATAGGTTTGTGGGGGCCACGAGCATTTGTGAGTGTGTTTTTCGTTTCCGCATGAAGAGATCAAAACCGAGTGGGGGCCACGAATTTAGGGAACCGCGTGGGAGGAGGCTTTCTGGCCCACCCGAAGACTTGGTTGAGCTTTATAAATACCTGGTACAGTTCTCACCTAGAGTTTGGTGCGAAGTGAGGGGGCAAAAGAATTGCAGGCGGCTGATTTGGACGCAGGGCAAGTGAAGGCAGGGGCGTGCAAAGTCGGCTGGTCTTGTTTTTTCTTTTGGTAGCGCGCAAGCAGAGGGGAAAATCAAGGCGGCTGTGTTTGGTGAAGAAAATTGCAGCGGCTTTTGTTAGGGTTTTGTGCATTCCCTTTTGAGAGAGATTTTGTGTGAGTGATCTGAGAGTTTGTGTGAGGGTTTAGATTGAGAGATTGTAAACCCTAGTTGTATCTCTCCCTCTAATAGTAGATCCCCTCTCATTTCCCCGTGGACGTAGGCAGTTTGCCGAACCACGTAAAATTAGTTTGTTTGTGTTTGTGGTCATTGTAATAGTTTTTTTAGGATCTCTCGACAAGTCAGTCCTAGAACTGATGAGAGGAAGAGCCGTTATCTCACTTTGTTGAGATATTCGCTTTAGATTCTTATTTTCTTGGTGAGATAAAAATTCTTATTGTGATCTTTCTCTCTTATTGTGCACCAGAAACTCTGCCGAAATTTCCGTTGCGCACATCAAGTGGTATCAGAGTTTGGGCTACACAAAGCAAGATGAATCAAATGGCATGTGGTATGATTAGGTCTTGTTTGACTCAAGATCTAAAATATGATATGATGAATGAGACTTCTGCGAAGAAGATTTGGAAGATTCTCGAAAGCAAGTATCTGACAAAGAGTGTTGAGAACCGCTTGCTTTTGAAGAGGAGACTTTATCGTTTCCAGTTGAAGAAGAGAACCTCAATTAGTGATCACATGAACATCTACACAAAGCTTCTTGCGGATTTGGCGAATGTGGATGTAATAATTAAAGATGAGGACAAGGCGTTTCTATTGTTGAGTTACTTACCTGACGAGGAATATGAGACATTCGTTCTTACTCTGATTAATGAGAAGACATCTCTTTCGTATAGTGAAGTGACTGCTATACTTGTGAATTATCAGCTTCGAAAGAAGGATAAGGAGGCTTCAGTTGAGTCGGTAGCAGAGGCGTTGGCCGCAAGAGGAAAGGGTCCAAACCGAAAGAATTGGAAGTCACAGTCTAGAGTAGGCATTCTACAATTAGAAAAGATCAGTGTGTTTGGTGCAAGGAGACTGGTCATTAGAAGAAAGATTGTTCAAAGCTCGACAAATGGATGAATAATAAGCAGAAGGGAAAAGGGAAGCAACCATCATCAGAAGCAAATATCGTTATGTCGGATGGTAATATTTCTAATACTTCTATTTATTTGCTTTCTATTAGTCCTACAGATAGCTATTTGGAGGAATCTGAATGGATATTGGATAGTGGTGCGACCTATCATGTGTGCCCTAGAAGGGAATGGTTCTCCAGTTTTGAGAAGCTGGATAGTAGTATGGTGTACATGGCTGATAACCGTGCATGGCAGATCCTTGAGATAGGAAGAATTCGTATCAAGATGTTTGATGGGACTGTTAGGGAGTTATATGATGTGAGATATATTCCTTCCTAGAGAAAGAACTTGATCTCAATTAGAGCTTTGGTTGGAAAGTGTCTGAATGTTCAAATTGAGGACATGGTTCTCAAGATTGTGGAAGACTCTCAGATTATGATGAAGGGCGTCATGAGGAATAATCTGTATTACTTGACTGGAGGTATAGTGGCAGGTGGAGAAGTGGTGACTTCTATTGATTCGACTAGACTATAACTTAGGGCTTGGTCATTCCAGTATTGATTCCTCGCATAAATTGAAAGATGGTGTGAAGACCTGCAGTTTGAAGTCCAGTGAACATGTTGATGTGAGCAAGAAGACCAAGGTGAAGTTTGGCACCTCTATTCATCATGCTAAGGGTCGTTCTGGAGGTGTTCACGTGGATGTTTGGGGGCCTTCCAAGGAAGCATCATTGGGAGGTAATAGGTGTTTGGTTTTCTTTGTTGGTGGTTGTTCTAGGCGTGTTTGGGTTACAACCAAATCCCCATTGAAAAAAATCCTAGTAGTCTCTAACAGTTTGAAGAAGTGTGAGATTGGCAAAAAGGTGAATGTTCTTCATTCTGGTTTTGATGGGAGGTATAAGATGGACATGTTTCTGTATTGGAGCCGAGCTCACGGCATTTCGAGACACTTCGTTAGAAAGGAAATCTTAGGAAAACTAGATAGGGTGGCAAAATTGGAGAACCGTACCTTACTGGAGGAGGATCGGTGTTTGTTGTCAAGCAATGGTTTGTAGAAGAGTTTCTGGACTGAGGCTTCAAAATATTTGGGCCACCCTATTAAAGAGTTGTCAAATGCTGTGATTGGATGTAAAACTTCATTGAATATTTGGTCTGATAGTGTCACTTCGGTTGAGGCTTCGATGAGGGAGCTAATTGACTCTCAGCAGGTGGAGAGTTTTGGAAAGACCTTAGATGTATCACAGCGGGTGGAGAGTGATGCTACTCCATATTGGGTGAAGATTACTCCAGATCATACTGTATCATTTGGGACTCTAGCTGAGGTGACACAGCTTCAGGATTAATTGGTTTTGGATGCAGATAATGAGTTGGTTTTTGATTCGAGTACAGCTGATAGATACAGTTTGGATATGGCCATTGATTCACCTCAGATGGAGGTGTTTGAGGTCATTAGAGGTGCTATCAGCCGTAGAGTTGACGAAATTGGAGAAGAGTTGCGAACTCTTCTATTAGATTGAGGTCGTTCGCGGCTATTTGGGTGAACTACGTGAAGGCTTGATACCTTGGGCAAGAGGATACGTAGGCAGTCAGTTTTGATGTAACCGATTTGGTGAGTAGATACCGACGTTTGGAGAGTGTTCGTATTCTCATTTGGGTCTCGACTTGTTGTGGATTGATCGAGTCCATTGTTGTGAATTGTTTTACTTCGTACTGGACGTAACAAGTGAGGCATTTGATTTGGTTGGTGTCGGCTCAGTTTTGAAAAAACTTCGCTGAGGTGGAGAATTGTGAACGCGAACGTGGTGGAGCCAACCCACGTGAAGAAAACAACATGAAAAGATCAAAGCAACATGCGGTTTCATAGGTTTGTGGGGGCCACGAGCATTTGTGAGTGCGTTTTTCGTTTTTGCATGAAGAGATCAAAACCGAGTGGGGGCCACGAATTTAGGAAACCGCGTGGGAGGAGGCTTTCTGGCCCACCCGAAGACTTGGTTGAGCTTTATAAATACCTGGTACAGTTCTCACCTAGGGTTTGGTGCGAAGTGAGGGGGCAAAAGAATTGCAGGCGGCTGATTTGGAAGCAGTGCAAGTGAAGACAGGGGCGTGCAAAGTCGGCTGATCTTTTTTTTTCTTTTGGCAGCGCGCAGGCAGAGGGTAAAATCGATGCTTGGCGGCTGTGTTTGGTGAAGAAAATTGCAGTGACTTTTGTTAGGGTTTTGTGCATTCCCTTTTGAGAGAGATTTTGTGTGAGAGATCTAAGAGTTTGTGTGAGGGTTTAGATTGAGAGATTATAAACTCTAGTTGTATCTCTCCCTCTAATAGTAGATCTCCCCATCCTTGTCCCGTGGACGTAGGCAGTTTACCGAACCATGTAAAATTGGTTTGTTTGTGTTTGTGGCTATTGTAATAGTTTTTTAGGATCTCTCGACAAGTCAGTCCTAGAACTGATGAGAGGAAGAGCCGATATCTCACTTTGTTGAGATATTCGCTTCAGATTCTTGTTTCCTTGGTGAGACGGGAATTCTTATTGCGGTCTTTCTCTCTTATTATGCATCAGTAACTCTGTCGAAATTTCCGCTGCGCACAATAATACTTGCGCTCCTCGGATTTGACGAAATCACCAATAACATCCAAAAGGTCAACACTGTTGTACAAGTTGTCGACACAAGCGTGAGAGGATTGATGGTTGAGGAGGTTGACTATGGATCCGAGTGGAAAGGTAAGGAAGGAGAGAAGGACATCTACAAAATCATTTCCTGTTTCAGCTATGCAACCTTCTTCGTCATCTTGTTCTCAACCAGCTTCACGTACACTCGGTAGTCTTGGATTTACTTGCTTCTTTCTTAACTTCCGATTTGATTTGAGCAGTGTCTACAGCCTCATTTTCTTCTTTATGCATCTTCTCTGATTCTTTCGTCTCCAAGAAAACATCTGTAAGTGGCGTCTTCGAGAGTGGCAGGCTCTTCAGAAAACTTAAAACCTAGTGCAGCACCGACAAACAGATCAGAATTTAAGATGTATTGGA